TCAATATCCCACTATTTTCTGGTTGTACTGAAAAATAAACAACCAGTAAATTATTTCACATCTTAAAAAAAAGCATTTACTCTTAAAAAAATGGGATGAAATCTCCTTAAAAATGTTTCTACAGCTACTAAAATCTTGCATTTACAAAATATGATAAAAATATTCCTCTGGATTGTACAAGAAAGGAGACAGGGACCATTGATAAGACATAGTATGTGATATTACTCAGACTTGACTTCTTTCTCGCCTGCTTCATCAGAGGGTGGACTCTCCTCATTTTTAGTTCCTCTCTTTTCTGCAGGTAAATCTTTAGTGTCTTGTTGGCCACTTCGGCCTGTTTCCCCTTTGCTCCCCTTTTCCCTTTTGTTTGCGCTCTTTTGTCTGAAGATTTATCCTTCCTTGCTGTCTTTTTTGGCTTTGTCTCCAATTTTGCAGGAGCAGGTTTAGCCAACAACCTCGCAGATCTCCTCTTGGGCTCTTCTTTGGCTGCCCCATCTGCTGAGCTGACCTTCCTCTTGGGCATCTTGGTTGCAAATAGGGTGCATGCTGGGTGCCTGGGAGGCTGTGGCGCACCTAGAACCTTAGCAGAGTTGAGCAGATAGACCCTACTGCTCCCCCTGCTACGCAAGCTGCTTGCCACTTTCTTTTTAATGGCTATATAATATTAGTATTAAAAGGTTATCGTCTTAACTTAAAAGCATATTTTATTCTTTTATTTTTAAAAATTTGCTATAGGGTGTCTGTGCTTGCCAGAGAGAGAAAGCGAGAATCACCCCACATGGGGGTTGGCTGCATCAAATCCTTTTCTCCTCTGTTTTTCCTTTTGGGATTTTTGGGCACATGCACACACACTTCTGGCATGCTTTTCAAGCTGCTGGGTCCCGGACTCAAACCACATAGTCAGCCGTGTGGGATCCAGCCACCTTACATCATGCCTCTGGCTGGCCCTCAAAGGTATATTTTAAAAACCAAAAAGAAGAAATATCATTTCAGCCTAAAGAAGACTTCCGTAAATTAAATAAATTTAGTTCTGTGAAAAATAATTGTTGGCATTAGTCCAAAAATACTGTGTTTGAAAACTGTTTCTAAAAATAGTAAATCATTACAGAAAGAGATGTGAATAGGAGTATGTTAGCACAGATGGTGTTATTTTAGAGAGATTCACTAGCCTCTGCTGGGCTGAATAAATGAGAGGGCAAGAGATATAATTGAGATATCTATGTCCTTCTCATTTTAAGGAAAGGAATAGATTTAACAGTTGTACTACTTATTTAATCAAATCACTCAATTTGTCAGTCTTTTGTCAAGAAATCTTGTTTTTATAGCAGCTGTCAGTTGGACTGATATAGGACTAGTTCCAGAACTATTTATTTATTCTGTTAATATTTTTGAGTAATTAATGCATGTATAGTACTGCTAAGAATTTTAAGAAAGGGCCAATAGGTGGTGTGGTAGTTAAAGCACTGAATTCTGACATGGCTGACCACAGTTTGAATCTCGGACCCGGCAGCTTGAAAATCATGCTGAGCGTGTGAGTATGTGAGTGTGTGTGTGTGCGTGTATGTGTGCCCCAAATCCTGAGAGGATAATAGAGGAGAAGGGATTGCAGCATGGGCATCATCCCTTAGGGGGTGGTTTCTTATTTTCCCTTTCACTGTCTTTCTCTCTTCAGTGAGTGTATGCTCCCTATAGCAAAAGCCTAAAAAATATAAGTAAAAATTTAAAAAGAAAAGGAATTTTGAGAATATACTGTCAGTATGTGAGAAATAACCCACGTGGGGCCAGCTGATAAGGTGGTGCTGGAGGTGACTGGAGCCTATATGGGCAACTGCATTGTTTGAGTCCCAGATCCAATGGCTTGAAAAACACACCCGGCACATGTGTGTTCCTAAAATCTCAAAGGGAAGGAGAAATGGAGGAGAAAGGACCACCCCCCATGGGAGATTACTTTTTCTCTCTCTCTAGTGAGTGCACTCGCCCTTTACTTGCCCTTTAGCAAATTAAAAAAAGAAAGAAAGAAAGAACTCATAAAGTGAAGGGGGTATGAACTTGGGGAGTGATTAAAACGGGAATGGTAACTGGAGTCTGAGAACCTTGGCATTGAAAAATTGGTAAGATCTGGTGACATTTGGGAAAATAGGAAGAATAGAGTTCATTTGCTGAGTATTTGAGTGCCCAGTTTGTGCCAAGCACTATGATATGTTAATGCCAAGCAAATTGCCCTAAGGGATGTCTTGTAGGATTCAAGAGGCCAGAGTATACAGATACAAAAAAGCCCACCTATTCATTAGGTAGCATGTGTTTATTCGGACAGGATGATACTAGATGTTGAATATTAGGAAGGAAATTAGGCAAATCCAGGTTGTAGGGAGGGAATATATATAGAATCTAAACTTTCTTAATCCAGAATAGCAATCTGATTAATACAGGTGTATTTAAGAGAACACTTGCATGCTACACACACACACATTTTTATTTTAAATGTATTTATTTACATTCACTCACTGTATATCATTATAGTATACAAAATGAGATTTTCCATCTAGAATACACTATATATTGGCTCAATCAAGGATATTACCATATGTGTTATCATCAACAAATAATTTTCCATTTCTTATTTCTTATATATTTTGCTTCTCTCCCCCATTCCCTATCTCTCACCCTCTGCCTTTTCCCACCCTCCTCCTACACTGCCTTTGGTATCTACAGTTGCTTTCTATGCCCTTTTTTTCCCCTTCACATTCTATTGATTAACAAAAGATCTTAATTAATCTAAATACATTCAATAGCAAGTGCAGTTGATATATACATATCTATGAACACATGTCTGACTTTAGGCATAAACCTCATTGAGTAGAATGAACATACTATAAAGTATCACCTAGATGGGGCTATATAGCTTACTGCAGTCATTAAATAGTTTTTTTTTTTAATGTATTTTTTAATTTCAAGAAAAACAGTTTTTTTTTTTAAATAGGTTGAAATAAAACAATGTTAAGAGAAATTTGCTTAAAACTTAATTAAAGTCAGGAAAAAGGTTAGAATGCAGTTTAGACAATAGGTAGATGAACTTATCAGCAGTTCAAGAGAAGGCAAAAGTTCTTAAATCTGGAAAACAAAGCATAGAAGAAAATCAGTAACATTTTAGTCAAAAGTCATAAATTTTTTTTTTTTTTTGAGAGGTTTTCACTATAGGGCATGTGCGCTCGCCAAACAGACAGAGAGAGACATAGAGACAGAAAGCGAGAAATCAATCCCTTCTCCTCCATTCTCCTCTCGGGATCTTGGGCATGCACACACACGCGCCCGGCATGAGTTTTAAGCCACCGGGTCCGGGACACGAACTGCGGTCGACTACGTGGGAGTCCAGCGACATAGCCATTACGCTAACTGCTGGTTCCCATAAAATTATTTTTCAACAGTTCAGTCTCATGTAATTAAGCTCTCTTCTGTTGAATTTGCAGTGTTACTGTTTCCATTTAAGCCCTGGAAGTTAACATTCAATGTTGTTATTGATTTTTTTCAGAGTTGTTCCTACCACTAAGTTGGCCATTCTCTTGGTTGTTTTTTGTACTCTTATTTCACACTCACATATACTTTAACTATTCATTTAGTTTGAGGATGAGCAATAGATATTTATGGTGGAAAAAAAACCTTTAAAAAGTATTCTGCCAAGAATCTCCATTTTCTCCCCCTCTTCCCTAATATGTCAATCAGATTTACATGCTGGAAACAAAGGATTTAAGATATGCAATTGGGTACTTATAAAATTGTTCCAAGGGTTAGAAGAATGGGACTCAGGAGGGCTGCCCTTTTTATTTATTTATTTTTTGGAGAGGTTTTTGCTATAGGGCGCATGCGCTCACCAGACAGACAGAGAGAGACAGAGAGCAAGAAATCACCCCCTAGGGGGGATGGCCACGCCGCAATCCCCTCTCCTCTGTTCTCCTCTCAGGATCTTGGGCACGCACATGCGCCCGGCGTGAGTTTTAAGCCACCAGGTCTGGGATGTGAACTGCGGTCAGCTACATGGGAGTCCAACGACATAGCCATTATTTTAACTGCTGGTCCCCAAGGAGGGCTGCCTTTAGAGTACCAGTATGAAGGGCCTATCACTGTAGCTGAGGTCTGGAGGTCAAAGGTCCCTTGATAATTCACCTGCACATAAAAGTTTGAAAGGCTTTGCAGTGGTATACTGGGTCTGGTCACTCACCTAAGCATCTCTGTGATCTTGGTTGCTAATTTTGAGAGAGTTAAGGAAATATAGTCATTGGTTTTCCAACTCTCAGATTGAAGGAAGGATAAAACAGAGATTGAAAGAGTCCCTGTACTGAACTGACCACACTTTTCACAAGTAACAGTCTTTAATTTCTTGTGCATTCTTCCAGATGGTTTGTGCAAATAGCAGCATTGACATGAATATATATTCTTTTGCATGTTTTAAAAATAAGTAATGGCTTAGTATACATAATATACTGCATCTAGCTTTACATCTGGGGAGAGCTTCTGTATTTTAACACACAGAATCGTCTTGTTCTTTTTAACATTCCTTTATGTGGATTACAAACTCTTCAAATCGGGACTTTCTGATACATCAGAAAGTTGTTGATGGTCATTCTAATTTGTTGGCACGTATAAAGTATAATCTAGTTGTTAAATGTTAGCTTCCTCACTTCTTTGTGATCAGGGAGGTCTTTTGTATAAATCATCTAGTACTACAATCCTATGTGCTTCCAGCACATGAGGGAACTCAGGCTTATTATCGATCAATTTAATAATTTATAAACTAAGGAATAAACAGGTTGGGATTTGAACCTCAAGTCTCCATAATTTTTGATTTGACCCAATTGTGTAGTCTCTAAATGGTAGCTCTTTAGTACTTTGTTAGCCTGATCCTTGGGAAGAGTTTTGGAAGTGATACTATTTTGGTTATTTTGGAATATTAAAAGAGTTTATCTCTCTCTCTCTCTCTCTTTTTTTTTTTTTTCCTGACTCAGGTATCCAGCTCACATAGAAGACATTGACTACGAAGAAGGAAAAGTACTCATCCATTTCAAGCGTTGGAACCATCGTTATGATGAGTGGTTCTGCTGGGATAGTCCTTATTTACGTCCACTAGAGAAAATTCAGCTGAGGAAAGAGGGTTTACATGAAGAGGATGGATCTTCTGTGAGTAATAAATCTGGCAAGTTCTGTAATGAGCAGGGTTCATTGGGCAGTTTATGTTCCACCCTTTGTTCAGTGAAAGTCAGTAGCAGCCGGGGACCAATCCTTACTTTGGCCTGTAGTTATAACCCTGAAATTGCTTTGATATGTGGGGCTCCTGAAGAATCCCACTTTCTCATCTGTTTGAATGATGGGCTTGATGTAATAGCTTATAAACTAACTTGGCTGAGGTTGCATGATGCCACATGGGATTTTCTCTCTGTTACACTATTGTATCCCTAGCCTCCAGAACACTGCCTAGCAGGTAGTAGGTCCTTCGTAAATATTTGCTGAATAATCGAAGAATGATTGAATTCTAGATTCATTGTATCTAGGATGCTGTGGTGTTCTAGAATCTCTGAATAGCTAGGGTATTTATAAGGCTGATCTGCTGTCTGATCATTTACTAAGTGACCATTTCACATGGAGCACTGTACTAGTGTCATATAAAGTCTTTTATCAGCCTCAGAGATTTGGACTGAGTTCCTGTTCTCTAAATGTCATCACTGTGCTTGAAGCTTTTACTGACAAACATTAAAAGCTTTTAAACTAGCATTGAGATTTCTGTAGTAGTCTTCTGCTTTTGGATTTGACTCAGTCCTGGATTCTTTTTTTCCATTTTAATCCTGACCATGAACTTGAACTCTTGCCGGCCTTCCCCTCCCCCCCATTTTAGGATTGTTCAGTATCGTTCCATTTGATTGTTAGTGTTCATTTTATGCAATTTGTCAACACAAACTGTGTTTGGGGAAAATAGCATATAGTATTAAAGGTGAATGGGTGAGTCCCTTGGCAAAAGACCTTCTAGAAGTTTGGGTAGCATTAAATGACATGAATGCAGTTTTCCTAAAGATAAAATAGCCTCATTGCTTCCATTTTCTATATTCGATGTGTTTCCGGGTGTTTCTGGGCTCTTAGACTTACTTTCACTGAATATCCTGGATAGAGTAGGATTATCATTACTATGCTATGCCTGCCCAGACCTCCCTGGCTTGTTAAGGACTTGTATACTAGCCCTTTTTTCTTTCTTTTTTATTTTTGTCTTTATTTATTTATTTTGAGAGAGAGAAATATCTCCAACAAGGTTCTCAGGCCATGATCCATCCTCAGTCTTAGCTTGTCCAGATCAAAGGCATGTGTGGATGCCACCAGTGTGCTCAGACAGGTTCCAGGACATGAACTCAGGATTTTCCTATCTGGGGGTCCAGTTGCATTACTGCTGTACCATCACCTAGTCCCGTGTCCTAGCCTTCTTTTATTTATTATTTTTTTAAAGACAGGGTCTCACTGTGTTGTGATCCTCCTGTCAGCCTCTGGAGTTACTGGGTGCACTCCACTGTGCCGGGCCTTTAGGTTGGATTAAGAATCATTCAAACCCAGTTTTCCCATGTGGTCCCAGCCTGTGAAGCCAGCCTCTAGGCAGCACATTCCACCATGGCTGTTAGTTCTCTTGTTTTGACTCTCAGTGCTGAGCAGAAACATTCCCCATACTACTAGCCACTTCCCCTTTCCACTATTGGTCCTGTCTTTTATGAATTCTGTACAGTGTATGTCCTATAAAATTGGGTTGGTAACGGGATTTTTTAAAATGTTTTTTAGGAATTTCAAATAAATGAGCAGGTCCTTGCTTGCTGGTCTGATTGTCGTTTTTACCCGGCCAAAGTCACTGCTGTTAACAAGGATGGTAAGACACTTGAATTGTACTTGTTTTTATTCATGACTTACGGGGGGAGTTTGTAATGTTAAAGTTTGGCAGTATGTTTTCAGTATTTATTTATTGACAGAAAAAGTTAATATACCAGGAGTTAGAAAGAGTTTATAAATGGAAAGAAAGCTGTATAAAAAAGGGAGCTGGACTCTACCCTTTAAATTTCAGTCTTTTAAAATTTTTTATTAGAGAGATTTTTGTTGTAAGGTGTGTGTGCTTGCCAGAGAGAGAGGGAGAGAGAGAGAGAGAGAGAGAAACAGAAAGTGAGAAATCACCGCCCCAGGGAATGGCCACACCACACTCCCTTCTCCTCCATTCTCCTCTCAGGATTTTGGGCATGCACACACACATGCCTAGTGTGAGTTTTAAGCTGCTGGGTCTGGGTCTTGAACCACAGACAACTGCATGGGAGTCCAGCAATGTAACCATTATGCTACCTGCTGGGCCCTCAGTCATTGTTTTCTAAAACATAGTTCATCTGTCACTTGGCTGGAAAGTGTGCATGTTCTTGTATAGGAATACATAATTTAATCGATGAGATAAGTTTTGCTTCTTCGTGAATAGTCTAGAAATAAAATGAATAGCAGCTAACGTTTGAAAATGTACCTTGTGGGGCAGACAGGTGGTGTGGTGGTTAGGGGTGTTGGACTCCCACATGGCTGACCACAGTTTGAGTCCTGGACATGGTACCTTGCTTTCTCACTTTCTCTCTCTGTCTCTGTTTCACTCTCTGGTCTAAGTAAGTAAATAAATAAATAAAGTTAAATAAAATAATTCTCTTTAAAAATGTACCTTGTATTAACAGACACTAAAGTGTAAAATTATTTAAGACTGATATGGGGCTGGCAGGTGGCATGGTGGTTGAGGCATTGGATTTCCACATGGCTGACCGTGGTTCAAGTACTGGACCTGGCAGCTTGCTTTCTCTTTCTCTCTTTCTCTCTTTCTCTCTTTCTCTCTCTCTCTCTGGTCAAGTTGAATGATGATGATAGTAATAATAAATAAAATTAAGTGAGTAATTATTAAAAAATGAATTATATATATATGTATATATATATGTGTGTAAAACAATAAAGAAAAAGCCAGTAAAAACGAAGAATATATACTTAAATGTTACATAGATGCTCATGTTTGTAAAATAGTTAACTTGGAAACACTAAGAAACCTAATATGATATCAATCTTTTGAGAATAGTTATGGTTGAACCATCTTGTGGGGCATTCAATTTGTTTTGGTGAAACTGTTCAAACAGGGAATAAAATATTTGTGTTTTCCTAATGCTGAAATATAAATCTAGTATCTATTAATAAATATATAATATTCAATAAACAAACAAACAAATGTACCTTGAGGATGCAAGGTGGTTGAGGGTGATCTGTGTAACACTGGAGTTGCTAGTGGAAATTGGGATGGTGGGATGTAGAGTACTGAGTTGGGTTGCTTTTGCCAGAGTTGAGACCATGTAAAGATACAGGACAGGGAATTTGTCCTAAAGAGGCTCATTTTGGTAGTGCAAGGGTAGGAGGATAAATATGTGGTCACAATCCAGGCACTCAAAAGAACAGAGTGTAGGTTTGAGTGATACTTTTCTAGCAAATTTCATAGGCTGTTTGCAGTGTGTCTGTGCTCTCTGAAACAATGTTTAGGGCAATCAGTCCTCTTGGGGCCACTGTTAGGCGTGACTATAAGGTATTCATTGAAGTTGTTCTGTTCTTTACTCAGTATTCTACCAAGTGCTGGCTAGACTTGACACTGATCAAGTTTTGTCTGAAAATGGCCCAAAATAATCCTCCAAAGCAAAGTTATTCCTTTTTTTTTTTTTTTTTTTTAAATAAGACAAGCCCCGTCCTCTCACATTATTTCTTTTAAATTGTCTAAGCTGTTACTGATTCTCCAGTTCATGGTTAAGTCTTTTTGGACAACACCTTATTTTCCTAAATTACTGTTATACATTTGTATTCAAAATTCCATCACTGCTTTTCATATGTATCGCATTAACCAAATTTTTATTTTAAATTTATTTACATTTTAATAAACTGCCTTAAATCCTTTTAGTAAAAGACACAGTAGTATACCTTTCCAGCTTCTTGTTTTCAGGGTTAATCCTTTTCCTTCTCTTACTAGCTTTTGAAATCATATGATAGGAAATACAGGGTCGTCTTCATGTACCTTCAATGTGTTCCTAGAAGGTCCGTAAGTTGATTTATGCTAATCAAGTGTAGGGAGTGGCTGGATTTGAGCTGACAGTAGTGCCTTAGCAGGCAAGGTCCTGCTATTTTGAGCTTAACACTACAAGGCGGTGTAAATTAAAGGAAATTGTGTTAGTCAGACAAGGCCTGAGAAGATAGGCTTGTATAGAGCTGCAAGACGTCAGATGGTCCATATTTTTAGTCAGTGACATTAAAAAACAATTGCTTTGTATTTTGTTTTTTTTCCAAGTCATATTTTACCCCAAGATAATATCCAGTGGCAGTGTTGACCCTTGGGGAAGTGGTTGCCCTTTAGATCAGATGAGAGTTCTGGGTAGTAACATGAGTAATTCTTAGATAAAGGAACTAGCAGAAAGGAGTGACCATTTTTCTTTTGTTCCAGTGATGTCCTAGAGATCCGTGAGGGACAGAAATAGGGCAAAGGTGATTGGTTGAGGGAATAGGAAAGACTGGGCAGATTGTGAAAGAGCGGTGAGGACTGTCTCTCTCTCTTTTTTTTTTTGGAGAGGTTTTTGCTATAGGGCGTGTGCGCTCGCCAGAAAGAAAGAGAGAGACAGAGAGACAGGAAGCGAGAAATCACCCCCCAGGGGGGATGACCACGCCTCAACCCCTTCTCTTCCTTTCTCCTCTTGGGATCTTGGGCACGCATGCACACACGCCGGCGTGAGTTTAAGCCACTGGGTCCGGGACTCGAACCGTGGTTGACCACATGGGAGTCCAGTGACATAGCCATTACCCTAACTGCTAGTCCCGAGAACTGTCTCTTAAGAGGTGGAGGGTTCCTCGGAGGCAGTGAAGGCTTAGGAACCGGTTCTTTACATCTAGTATCTACACAGCCCAGTGCCTAGCATCATGGTGGGGGAAGACCAAGTTCAAGGCAGAATGAAGTAGGGTGGTGAACTAGAGCTATGAGGAGGAGGAGGTAGGCAGGAGCTGGATAGTGGGTACAGATAAATTGTGGGGGATTGGAAGAGGGATGCCTGTCTACAGGGGTCTTTTGTGGAATAGGTCTGGAATTCTTTTAGATAATCATTTAAAGACTAAAAGCCATTGCCCACATTATTAACTATAGTTAATTAGGGTTTTAAAAATGTCTTTTAAACTGGAGCAACCAGAGTTTTATAGATTTTTTTTTTTGGAGAGGTCTTTACTATAGGGCACATGTGCTTGCCAGAAAGGCAGAGAGAGACAGAGAGACAGAAAGTGAGAAATCACCCCCCATGGGGGATGGCCACGCCTCAATCCCTTCTCCTCCATTCTCTTCTTGGGATCTTGGGCACGCGCGCACCTGTGCCTGGTGTGAGTTTAAGCCACTGGGTCCGGGACTTGAACTGTGGTCTACTACATGGGAGTCCAGTGACATAGCCATTACGCCAACTGCTGGTCCTGAGCTTTATAGGATTTTAAAAAATTTATTTTAAAATTTTTTGGAGAGATTTTTGCCATAGGGTATATGTGCTCACTGGAGAGAAAGAGACAGAAAGACAGAAAGTGAGAAGTCACACCCCAGGAGGGATGGCCATGCCACAGTCCATTCTCTATTCTCCTCTCCTCATGCATGCACACACACCCAATGTGAGTTTGAAGCCACTGGGTCTGGGACTCAAACTTCAGTTGACTAAGTGGGAGTCCAGCGATGTAACCATTATGCTATCTTCTGGTCCCCGCTTTATAGGTTTTTTAAAACATCTTTTCAGTTTTGTTTCCGCCATAAGTTAAAATGATAGGGGAGATTGTCTTGAGATTATAGTAATTCCTAAAATGATCATTTGCCTCCTTAATCTGTTGGTTCTTTATGCTCCAAATTCTGTCCTATTAATTTCAGTTAAAGAAATGAGTGGAAATTTCTGCCAAAACCTATTTTCCCAAAGTTCTTAGTTCCTGTGAAGTCCCATTATCTGTGCTGCTGTGCTTTACTAGTTCCTGAGAATACTTAGAAGAGGGAGGAGAGGACATGGGGGAGGGGGCACTCTGAAATGGAAAGTTAGTGAGACAGGCTGGGTGGTGGTATTGCCACATCATTGATAGTGAAGGAAATTCAGCTTTTGTGGGACCTCAGATCTGTGAAGATAATGACTTTGGGGTTATATTTTATCCATGGGAGTTGGTGGGCAGTTTTTGCTTCATCATGACTTGTTCTAGTACAGGACTGGGAGCTACAATGCCGGACTCTCATTTTAGTCTTTCCCTGGTAATTCCTTTTGGCCTCAGTTTCATAACAACTGGGGCCACTACAGCTTAATGCTGCTTTGAGGAAGAGCTCTGCTGGCCAGGTGCCTCCTTTATTTCCTGTGAATGTCACTTTTGTCTGGTCGGTGTTGCTAGGAGGCTGAGGATATAGTCAAGTCACATGCCGTAGCTTCATCCTGGGAAGGCTTGATCTGATTTTCTTGCCACTCAACCGCCTTGCTGGTTTTGCTGGGGTGGAGCATTGACTGAGCAGGCCGGTGGGTGGGGACTCATGCCAGAGTGGAGGAGCAGCAGCTGCTACGCTGGGGAGTTTGGCACAGTAGAATCAGAACTAAATAACAACTTTGCACTGTCTGTCGGGAATGAGTTAGCACTTAGGAAATAGGGATGCCCGTGCCATGGGCCTTTTCACCTGGAATGGCTCTTTGGCAATGACAGTCAAGCCTCATTTAGCATGGAGGCGGCCACAGGTTAGATCTGTTGGAGTTAAATGTAGGTTTCTGTTCTCAGGATCTTTGGAAGCCATCGCTGGTGAGTTGACCTCAGTGTTTTGCTGGGGTTGCTCAGCTCCCCTTT